CCGTCTGTCTGTCTCTCCGTGGCGCGATCGGAATTGGGAAGGCCTGGAGCGAGGACCGATCAACCGGGTTCCCGAACACACGACCGCGGCCGCGTCCACGTCGATGACTCCTCGACCACGAGTGTGATTCGGACACAGTGAGGGTATCTCTGTCGGGAAGAAGGGGTATCCGCCAGTGACAGTGAGTAAATCTCGGTGATATTCGGTGTGTAATTGAGAGGCAGAAAAGAATGAGAAAAGAGAAGTTTAGTACGGTTCTTCCTGCCCGCCGTGTGCGACGAATCTTCTTGGTGCAACGTAGAGAACGGGTGGGAACGGTGTAAAAGGCAGATTTCGGATAGGAATTTGCCTCGGTAGACGTGGGATCTGTGATTCTTTTCGTCGTCGTTGCTACCGTGAAACTCGAATAATTCGGAGGGAAAGCGATATATTCACGACGCGCACCACGCTCTTCTGTCTGACTTTCGAAATATTCGTCGACTTTTTGCCTTTCTATTTGCGTAGGATGTCCCTCGCGTGTGCACGAGCACTGTACGCGCGCGCGTACCTACCGATTTCCCGCGCGACGATTTTCGCGAAACGGGATCTTCTTCGGCTTGGCAAACCCGAGTTTCGATATTTTCGTAGACACGGTGAATCACCCGACCGATTCCGTTACTCTCGTTCGCGGAAAGTTCAAGGAAATACGGGCGCGCGCGCTCGGCCGTTCGCTCGCCTGGCCACTTTCTTAAATCGTTATTTTTAGCGGGGGCCGATTATTTCGCGATCCCGCGCACCCCGTTATATGGTAATCACAGCGACACATATTCGACGACGCAATGTTACTTCACGCTCGAGTAACTTTGACATATCGGAGGGATAATTGGCAGGGACACGCGGCAGCGTTCCGGCGATCTCGATCGATTCTCAGTTTTCCCTCCGCGGGGTTCCCCCAAGGAAACGTTCGATTTTCGAGAACGCTTTTGAAACGGTCTGTGTTCGTTCACCTCGGTACCTCGACCTGGCTTAGATCGTCGATCGTAGACGTTCATTGATCGATGCTCAGACGCTGTTTTTTATTCCTGCCTCGTCGAAGACATGAGTCAACGTTGCTCGATATCGAAGACGATCGCCGCGAGG